GCTTGGCGGTTAAGTGCGCGCATGCTCCACTGCTGGCGGCCCGGGTTCGGATCCTGGGCGTGCACCGACGCACCGCTTCTCCGGCCATGCTGAGGCTGTGTCCCACATACAGCAACTAGAAGGATGTGCAACTATGACATACAACTATCTACTGGGCTTTGGGAGAAAAATAAATAAATAAAATTATTTAAAAAAAAGAGAAATCTAGGAAAAGAATACATCAATCCAATTATAGCACCTTTTGTTGAGTAAAGGCTACATCTCTCATTGAACAGCTGATCTGCTGAGGGTTGAGGAGGACAATGGCTCCTTTTGACCTCTGAGGGTAGAGTGCGCTTTATTAGGGTTTATAGTCTAAGGGTTAACTTCTGTTACAGCGTAGACAGTGTATAGATATCTCTTAAGGGTCTCAAGATTTATCGGGTCAGAATTCTCACAGAACTAGCTAATTCTCAGTCTTATGAAAGTTTATATACCAATTTAAGATGCATATAAAGAGATATGGATAATTATTCATTCCAAGGAGGAAAGGTTATTCTATTCTTCATGAAGTGGTTGTCAATGGACTTGAAGCCAAATATTTCCATGAGCATTAACTTCTTTGTTTAATATTATTGGACTCAGAATTGGATAACATATACAGTGACTTAACATAAAAAGATAAAAGACCTCACTTACCATTTCAGGAAAATAATATTTTACCCATTTCATAGAACACTTGAATAAACTTACCTGCTACAGAGAAACAGGCCAGCATCCTCCTGCTTCTCTGTGAGCTGAGCATAGCTGGGGTCCCTAGGCTCTTACATCCAACTCTGTAGCCCTGGGGACTAAAACTCTGGAGATTCACCAGCAATTTATCCTCACAAGCATCAAAACAAGTCATTAAGGCAAATGCCAGGTTCCTTGTACCATGTTTAATGACTAGAATTTCCTTGAAATTACACAAAAAAGTTACATCTTGAAATTGACTACTAGGCCTTGTTTGCACATAATTAAAATGCCCTCTGGAATTAACAAAACTAAAATAAAACTAAAGTAAGGCAGTATTTCCCAAATCCTGCCTTATCTACAACAAAATTCAGTGGGCCTCTTTCGATCTTGTGAGCAGCATATACCAATTTCAGGCAAGTTACTCCAACCTGTTTGTGAAGTTCCTCAAAAGGTTGTCCATTTTGGTGAATCATAAAACAAGAGAAAATGCTAACAAGTCCAGTCTGCCATGCCAGCTGCTGTGCTATTTGGGTCATATGACCCAGCATACACGATTTTCCTTAAAATGTATTTGCATATGAGAGTGGTACAGAACTTTGGACAAGCCCCTACAGTGAATTACAGATCAGACTTTCAGGATTTTAGAGCAAAGCAATAACTTCCTCTGCAGATAACTATTCACCTTTTGAGAAACAGCTTCTGACTTTTAATGGGCCCTAATAAAGACTGAATGATTGACAATAGGCTACTAAGTTACTGTGCAACCTACACTTCCCGTCATGAGCTGGCTATTGTCTATCTCACCAATCCATAACATTAGACATGCACAGCAGTCAACGGCACTCCTGTTACTGAGCAAGTGGTCCAGATGCCCATGGTCCACACTCTTGTTGTATTGTTTTCTCTTTCACAGCCTGAACTTGTAGCCTCATAAGGTTTCCCTATGACAACCTGAATATGGAAGAAAGCATTGGGGCCTTATTTTCATATGATTCTGCATGATATGATGACACCACACTAAAGTGGACATTTGCAGCACTACAGTACTGCCTTACGGGTGTTCCTGAAAGACAGTGGCAAAAGAAAATTCATCTAGTATTCAGAAATTCAAAAAGTGTGCTTGGAACATTGGAATGGCCTTTTTAAAACTCAGTTACAGGAAAAGCTCTGTTGGCAATAATTTAGAGGGATGGAATAATCACCCCCAGAATATGTTATATACTCTAATCTGAAACCAGTATACATTAATCTTTATCCAATAATTTATGGGACCTAGAATTTGTGGATCCAGGCTGGAAACAGGAGTGGATCTTCCACCTATCATCCTAAACAATCCACCAGCTAAACTTCTGCTTCCCATAAGTGCAACTATGCGCTCTAGTAGTTTAAAGGAGTGATGCTTCCACTAGAGAACACAGTGATGCGTCCATTAAGCTGGAATTGTGACTTCTTTGACCAAAAAATATGGTGGGAGTGATGTTAAGTAGATTCTGGAGTAGAGGCACCAAGATGCCTTACAGCTTCTCCTTCCAGTCTCTTCAAACACTGATCTGAGATCACCACATAAGGAAGCCAGTGTAACCCGCCAGCAGATGAGAGACTCTGTGAGAGAATACTGAGGTACCCCAGCCAATAGCATCACCAAGTTACCTAACAAAATAGTGACATCATATTGGGCATCATTTTAGCCCAGCAGAGCTCCCAAATGATTGTAGCCACGTGATAAGCCCACGAGAGACTGGCAGGAGAACCATGCAGTCAGTCCACAGAATGGTGAGAAGTAACAAATTGTTTTCAGCCACTGAAGTTCTGGGGTGTTTTTTCCTCAGTTAAAGGCAAATGAAATATGCTCCAAGCTATACTTTCAACTTTAAAGAACTGAGAGGCTGAGTTGAAAAAAAAATGAGCATTTACCTATTTTTTTTTTTAGACCATCTCAACGGAGATTGGATTAAAGACCCTTTCATAACTTTCTGCCATATCCTTCTCTTCTCCCTCCTCAGTGATAACCTTCATCTTTCATTTGGTGATTTTCATTCTTATAATGTTATTTATTATATGTGAATATGCGTAACCAATATATAATGTTCATTGCACTCGAACTATATAAGTAATATTGAACAATATTTTTGTGATTTATAACTAACTGGTAAATTTTTAAATACAATCATTTTAACTTGTCCAATTGTATGGCTATAACCATTCTTTTTATGTCTATTTAGATGATTTCCATTTCTGTCATTACAAGCAATATGCAACTGAACATTTTTGTGCAGCTCTTTTCGGGCATATGTGCTTGAGTTTCTCCAGAGCAGTGATTTGTCACAATATTTCATGTCATGATATACACAGAAAATACCACTTGGAGCATTCACAGAATAGACTGAAGATGATTTGTTTTATACATTTTTCCAACTTCATCACTATTTTATTGACTGTCTTTTAATAATTAATTTGTCATAGATATTTCTGTATTGTGAGCATTGATCTTTAGTCAGTAAAATATGTTGCAAAATTTTTCTCTCATTCTGAGGCTTCTCTTTTCAATGTTTCCATGTGTTTCAATAAAATATGCTTTAAATTTAATGTAGTAACATCAGTTTTGCTTTCTGAATGTTTGCCTACTCTGAAATCATACAGAAATTATCCTTTATTGTCTTGAGAGGTGAACTTTTATAAGAATTCTTAACAGAAACATTAATATAGTAAATAAGTGCACATTTCTTACAGAAAGATTTCCAAAGATATTTTACAGTGTATTTATATATTTCAAATACTTTTTCTTTGGAATTGTGAATAATAATTGTGTGTAATTCCTGAAACCTAAGCATTTTTGAAGTGCTATACTCCAAGAGTAAAGGTAGTGAAAGACTATTTCAATTTTTCCAATAAGCAAGAATTATCATTTTCCAGTGCCGAAAAGCAATTTAGCCAGAAATATGTGGAATGATCTAGAAGTATTCTGACACTTAATTCAAGCTATAAAACATTTCTCCCATCATGGTGAACCAGGATCATTCCAATCTGGGGTTACTATTTATCAATTACATCCAGAACACTACGAGTATGAGTTTCTGAGTCTAGATAATCCAAATGAACCAAAATTGCCTGAAATATTAACTATAATACTGAATAAACTCCTTAACTTTTCTGAAAGCTGAATTAAGCTCTGAAAGAGAAAGACTCTAAATTGAACATGTTTTCAAAAATTAATCTCAAGCCTAATTATGAGAGATACTGTTGATGACGGAGCACCATTTTTGTGGTTCTGACAACTGTAAAACAGTCAAGTGGTTATATAATATCCAACTAAAACCAATATACTTAGAATAAGACAGGGAAATATTTTCCACAGTACAATAGTCAGCAGTAGAAGTATTGATATAAATAAGCATGGTCATCTTTGAGTGTATTATTCCTGTTCTTTTGGCTTTTTGAATCTCAAGTGTGATCTATATTCATTAAGGATTCGTCACCCAAAGTCTTACCTAGGTAAACAGAACATAATATTAAATATTATCAATTTAGTCTGAACTTTTTATTTCATTTTTTTGTGAGGAAAATTAGCCCTGAGCTAACATCTGATACCAATCTTCCTCTTTCTGCTGAAGAAGATTGGCCCTGGGCTAACATCTGTGCCCATTTTCCTCTACTTTATATGGGACACTGCCACAGCATGGCTTGACAAGTGAGCAGTGCGTTGGCGTATGCCCGGGATCGAACCTGTGTATCCTGGGCCCCGGAAGTGGAGCATGCACACTTAACCG